TTCAAATGTTTTATACATGCGGTTTTGAAACCTCAGTGGTTTCATGGTGAACAAAATCAGACAATTGTAATGGTATTTTATAATCTGAAACAGAAAAGTACTCACAGCTATTGTTGTATCGAGGTTCTAAATCTTCAATTATAGCTCGTTTCTTCTGAAGCTCATTATTAGCTTCATGAAGCTTCTCCCTGTTAAAAAAGTAAACTCCACAGTATGAACAGTTGCTACACTAGAGAGAGAGAGAGAGAGAGAGAGAGCATATTGCATATAAAGATATATTCACATACCTAACAATATGAATCTACCTACCTACCTATCTGTTTGTCTATCTCTATTGTGTGTGGAGGTAAGAGGGGGTTGGGGATCAGAATCCTGGGGAACAAACATTCTATGAATAATAATAATTTAAAAACACTATTTCCAGTGCCTCTAGTGAAATTAGTTAAGCATTCTGCCCAGAGAGACCTACAAGGAGTCACAGCACTAGCAGGATTGGATTTTCTAATAAAAATATTTAGTATTTGGACTGAAGGAGCATTTCCCTAAACACACACATAGTTTTTCGGTTTCTTTTATATCTGTGATATTGTAAGCAGCTGTGGTTGATCCAATTTTTACTTTTCTACCAAGAGGTACAAACAATATTTTTATTACTTGTATGGAAATAATAGGAAAGATTTTACTACTTACAGATGTTCGTCCAGCTTCTTTTTCAGAATGATAGACTATAAAGAAAAGAAAAGAAATATTACTGAAAGGTTTGTAGATTGTAAGGGGTGCAGCTAAAGCATTTCAAACAGACTCCAGTAAGAAGCCTCAAGGGTTACTTCTGATTTGGAGGGGGGAGCACTGAGAATGCTCCCTGCTGTCTGAGTGTGCACACACAGAAATCTCCCAGCTGCTTTCTTCCCATGCTGTTCTAGACATACAATACGTTTCCAAAGATAATATTAATTTGGTCCTTTGGATAGAGTTAAGCACCCCACTACTCTATTCCATATCAAACCTCTCTAAATGCTGTTTCCTCCAAGAGTAGTAATCAACTGGCAGCTACTGAAGATTTCTGTGATCTCTCTATTTATTATTGTATCTATATTAATTAGAGATGGGCAGGCACGGCCGAACCAGTGGTTTGTGCCAGTTTGTCCTTGAGCCAAACAAGTGTTTGGAGCTTCCAAGCCTGGTGGGCATCCACTCAGAGGCAGCACCTCGGCTTCTCCGCCCCACCTCCTCCAGGTACTGCCTCTGAATGGGCACCTGCTGGAGATGGGGCTATGAAGCACCAAACACCTGTTCAGCCCAGGGACAAACTGGCACAAACTGCCAATTTGATGGGTCATGCCCATCTCTGATCTCAATGTTTTCATATCATTCCCCCCTCTTTTTATAACAAATATTTACCCTTCAGGAACTGCTACATTTCTTTTTAATACACACACAATACAGTGGTGCCCTGCATAGCGACGTTAATCCGTTCCGGATTAATCGTCGCTATCAGGAATCGTTGCTAAATGGAACTAAAAACCCCATAGGGTTTAATGCATTTCTGTGGGGCCCAAACTCACCGTTCAGCGAAGATCCTCCATAGTGCCGCCATTTTCGCTGCCTCGGTAAGCGAGGGCAGCGTGCGAAAATGCTTGCGGCGCCCATTTTGGGCACCCGGGGGCCATTTTGGAACCGCTGATCAGCTGTTCTAAAAACATCACAATGCGAAGATCGGTAAGCGAAACACTGATCATCGCAATGCGATGTCTGCCCATTCAGAACATCGCAATGCAATCGCATTAGCGATCCCAAAAATAAGATAGCTATGCGGATTCGTCGTTAAACAGTGCGCTCGTTATGCGAGGCACCACTGTATAGTGTAATTCTTAATACCTTCAGGAATTTCTTCTAAGTAAAGCCCTATATGCACCAAACCTTCTGTGCATTTATTTGTAGAATATACTATTGCTGAAAACACTTCTAGATTCTTTGAACCACCAGTCTAAAATCTGTTTCACATCTTAAAAAATGCAATGTGAGTTGCATGTGAAATTAATATGCCCTCTGCCATTTGCAACATTGATAGAGACAAGATTCTTCTCGGTAACGTGCACCCTTAAGGTCTAACTCAAGAGCTCTGAATTTCATGGACTCCAGTCTGGGCACCAAGAGAGTGTTCTAACCTCACTTTGCAGTTTCATTACCCCCCTCCATGCAGAGTCTGAAGTGGAGAATGCCCCATAAGTGGAGACTCTCCAAATAAGATGGAGCCTGACTCCTGTGGTATTTCTGCATGTATAGCAGAGGACCCCTGTTTTAGCCTCATCACTCTCCACATGTAGAATGACCAAGAAATCATCCAAAATGAAATGAAGGGGGCAGGGCTAGAGTGCTCATTCTACCTATGATGGATATACACAAAACTCATAGCACGCAAACAGATTTACACAGTGCTGACTGACACCTTCTTCATTACATAAACCTCAGATGCTTACATGTCATATGTGTGTATGCAACTGATGCAAATTCAAACACAGAAGAATGTTCATTTAGAAATTTTGTAACACATTAAACCACTTTGACTTGCAAGTAAATATGGGCTTAAAGCCTACATTGTGACATCTGTCACCATAGAAATAATTTGTGAAAAAACATAAATGATTTTTTAATGTAAAGCTTGGAAGAATGGAAGAGGCAGAAGGAAGAGGCAGCAGAATGAAGCATGACATAGCTAGCACTGTGAGCAGAGTGTGCCATTCTCTTTTACTTAAAAAGGACTTCAGGGAATGAATTTATTTATTTATTTATTTATTTTTTCAGGGAATTTATTTATTTATTTATTTATTTAATTTAATTTAATTTAATTTAATTTAATTTAATTTAATTTAATTTATACCCCACCCATCTAGACTGAAGTCTACTCTGGGCAGCTAACAATAATAGATAAAAGTAAAAACAATATAATAAAATAAAAACAACAGTAATAATACAGTTCAAGATGGAAAAAATAACCAGGCCATGACAGGAGGCAAAGGAGCCAGATCTTAAGTTTGCTCTTAAAAACACCCAGCGAGGGAGCCAGACAGATCTCTCGGGGCAGACTGTTCCAGAGGCGAGGGGCCACTACCGAGAAGGCCCGGTTTCTTGTTCTTTCTCTCAGGGCCTCTCTCGGCATTAGGCCCCTCAGCTGTCCTTCTTCGCTAGAATGAGCGATTCAGGTAGATCTAGGTGGGAGGAGGAGTTCCACTAGATATTGAGATCCTAAACCATTTAGGGCTTTGTATGTCATCATTAATACTTCAAATCAATATGGAAATGAACAGGCAGCAAATACAAGGCAGCCAGAGTGGGGGAAATATGCTGATATTCTCTCACCCTAGTGAGAAGTCTGGCTGCCACATGCTGCATCATTTGAAGCTTCCGCATCAACCTCAAAGGTAGCCCCACGTAGAGTGCATTGCAGTAGTCTAATCTCGAGATTACAACCGCATGGACCAGAGTGGGGAGCACCCCAACATCAACATGGAGATGGAAATCAACATCAACATTTCCAGAGATGGAAATAGATGGAGTGGACCATTGATGCTACCAGGGTTTCCATGGTGAGTGCCGGATCCAGATGGAACCCAGGCTACGAATCTCACTCTTCGCAGTGAGAGTCGCTCCCCCAAAAGAGAGGGAGTTTCCCAAACCACCGATGGAGGGGCCACCCACCCTCAGGACCTCCGTCTTGTCTGGGTTCAGCCTCAGTTCATTCACCTGCATCCATCTCAATATGGCCTCCAGGCAGCACTGAAGGACCAAATGGACTGTTGTTGGAAAAAAGGAGATGTAGAGCTGGGTGTCATCAGCGTACTGATGACACAAAGCCCCACACTCCCTGATGACCCCACTCAGCGGCCTCATATAGATATTAAACAGCTTTGGGGAGATGACTGACCCCTGCGGAACCCACAATTGAGACTCCACGGGGCCAAAACACTCTCCCCAAGCTGTACTCTCAGAGGATGGTCTGCCAAGAAGGATCGGAGCCAGACAAGCGCCAGACCACCGATTCCCAACTTGGAGAGCCTCCCCAGGAGGATACCATGGTTGACGGTATCAAAGGCGGCTAAGATACTGAGGACGACCAACAAGGACATTTTGCCCCATCGGCCTCCCTCAACAGGTCATCAAACAGGGTGAGCAATGCCATTTCCATTCCATGGCATGGCCTGAAGCCCAGCTGCAATAGATCCAGGGCATAGGTTTCATCCAAAAGGCCCTGGAGCTGATCAGCCACTACCCTCTCTACCACTTTGTTCAGGAAGGAAACATTGGCAACGGGCCTATAGATGCCAACCAATGTTGTCCACCGCCAGACTTGATTTCTTCCTGATGCGCCTAATGAGTGTCTCCTTGAGGGCAAGAGGAACCTTGCCCTCCTGGAGAGACCCATTAATTATTGCAGTGGCCCATTCAGTTGTTATAGGCCTGGCTGCTTTGATTAGCCAGGCCGGGCAAGGGGGTGGAACAACAGCAAACAAGCACTTTGTCCACCACATCTGACCTCATAGGCAAAAAGTGATTGCATCTTGTCGGGCAAAGCAAAGCGCAGGAAGTCTCTGCTCGATCTACTGTTTTCAAATCGGGGATAAGATCCTGGCGGATGGTCTGCACTTTAGATTTAAAAATGTTGCAAACTGGTCAGGTGACATGCTAATGGGAGGCCAATCACTGTGAACAATTCCGGGTAGATCGCAGACTATACGGAAAAGTTCTGCCTGCTGATTAGATGCTTCGCTTATCTGGACGGCGAAGAGACCTTGACTGGCAGCCCTCACCTTAGTAAGGTAATGGCTAGTCATGATCCTGACAGCTTTCCGATTATATGCCGTTGGGTTCCGTCTCCAATTGCACTCTAGCCTTCTCTTGTTCCGCTTCATAGCTCACAGCTGCTGGTTAAACCAGGGTGCTGGATGAGCTCTGCAACGGAGAGGGCGTTTAGGAGCGATCGTGTCAACAGCCCTGGTGGCGGCAGCAAGTCAGCCATCATCCAGAGCCTCGACAGTAGCGCCAGTCAGATCCCTCTCATGGAGTCCTGGAATCCTATAGGATCCAGTAGCCTTCAAGGGCGGACTAGTAAAATAGGTCTTTGCTCCCTGCAGGGAGGAAGAGCCACTGAAAGGTTGCATTTTATTAGGTGGTTATCCGACCATGACAAGGGGACTGACACAAGGCAGCAAGGGTAGGCTGTCCCCTGAAGGAAAAACTTTTTTTCCCTACAGATCCAGGTTCCAGGTGTAAGTTGTGTGGGCTGTCATTATCTGCCTGAAATAGCATTCTCTTATTACATGGCGGGCAAGACAGCAATTCCATGGCCACCTTGCCCAGACCTCCCCAAGCAGACTTCTTCTCAGCCCATTAAGACAAGAGATCAGTCTCCTTTGGCTTACAGACTGCAGTACCTATGTCTCTACCTCTACTATGTCCTTCCTCTGGGGCAGTGTCTCTGGATGCGAGCCCCCCACCAAGCTTGGCAAGACTGTGTCCCAGAAAGCTTGCCTTTGCTGTTCCAGGGATGAGGGACTTCAACTGTAGAATACAACTGTTGGTACTGCTGCTTGGGATGCTGTGGAGATTCCTAGTTTCCTTCTGCTCTGTGAGACCTCTCAGAGGACCTTCTTCACTAGGTGCTGTTGCATGTAATGGAAAATGGCTGGCATTCTCTCCCACCTCATTGCTGCTGCTGCTTAATACCCATTGCCTGCTGTTTAATTTGGGGGTCCAAAAAGATTGCTAGAATGTATTATTCCTTCTTCCACAAGGAGGCAAATCTGCAGTGCAGCAGATCTTTTAGCTTACTGGCCTCCATAAACCTAATATTCTGCTACAGCAACACACAAACCCTTCCAATGAAAACCACACATACACACACACAAAGAAACAAAATACATTAATTTAATATATCTGTATATACAGAACAAAATCTGCCTGATATACCACTAAGGAGCCTAAACCTAATAGTTACCTGTTGATTTATAATGTGTTAATCTATGAATCTACTCATCGTAAATCTTATTCCTAACTATATTAAGTAAACAATATACAATCACATGTAAATTGAGAGTTCAGAGAGGGACACAGAGAAAAGTGCTGCAGTGCAGGCTTGCACCAGAGCATATCCCAGCAGTAAATGCTCATGGAATTTGTAAGCAGCTATGCCTACCTTTCAGACAGAAAGAATCAATGTAAAAAATACCTTCTGGTGCTTGTGCCTGTTTCTGGATTTCCTTGGGACAGACAAACATCATTTGCTGGTTTTCCTCTCACTGCAGCCCCCTTCCTTGGGAAACCAACAGCAATCCCAGCAGGCAGTGCGTTCTTTCCCCCACCCCCTCTTAGTTTCATTTCTCAAGAAATGACTTCAGAATGCTTGAGAAAGCCTTTTGCTTTCTAATCAATAGGAGTAAGTAAGATTCCAAATATTAGGAATTATTATTACAGATATTAGGAATTATCTAATTCAGATTGGGATACTTCTGGATATATCTGAATATAGTATTATTCTGTGAACTTCAAATATTTCTGAATCTGAATACACATCCCTATTTCGAAGGGAATGTACAACAAATTTGCCTCAAACAGTGCCACAATGACAACACTCACAGAAATAGCTGGCACATGTGTGTGTCCTCAAGCTTTCCCTAAACAAATGGATAACATATTGTATGTGAAAAATGGAACACAAATAAGAAATACAATTTTATCCATTTAAACTTCTCTGAAAAGGTCAGAGTCACCCGGGGTACTGACTTATTCAGAGTGGGATGAAGTAAATAGGAAGCCATACTCACAATAGCCTTGAGCAGAAACCCATGCCAAGAGACAGAGGCGACAAATTAGTACGAAGCAAAACAGCAGCCAACAAGAGAAACGGTTTAGTATCTTTCTGAAGAACACATTTAAAGCAAGGCATTCTCACTGAGCATGCACATTTTCTTCTCTTTCTACGCTGTCTAGAGCTTCTTCCTCCTGTCGAGAGAGCTCTGAAAAGCTATCACAAATGTGTTTCAGGTACATGAATGAGTGTTCTCACTAAAAACAAATGCTACAGACAAGAAAGACACTTTTTTAAAAAATTACACAAACATAACCTAAAATTTCAAAAGGGGACAGTTGCAATCACTGAAAGCAGATGACATGAATTTATCAGTTTCATGCACAGATCAGGTGTTTTTAGTATAGCTATACAAAAGCCACTAAAAACAGATGTACATGTTTATTTAATAATTATCTAAATCAACAAAATACAGTACATGTTACAGTAGAAATTTGTACTTTTTTTAAAACTAAAGGTTAGCCTCTAAATATCGCAATCAATAGTGAACACCTTATAGGCAAAAATCATTTTCATACGTACTATTTTCAAGTATTGAAAAAGAGCATTTACACTCTGGAAGTTCTAGATATGTATGGTGGACCTAAACTGTGACAACCACTTTCCTCCAAGGAAAGGAAGGATCTCAAAATAATATTCTCCCCTCCTTTCCCTCATTAGATAAATTATATTAGTGGTCTTTCATATCATGCATTTCTGTGCATGCAGCAGAAATTGTTTTACCAAGTTAACCAATGGTTCTTCTCATAAACTGCGGCAAGGCAAGACATTCTAGGAAATACACCTTGCATAATATCTTGCATTGTAAAGGACAAGTCTTTGCACCCAATAAATTAAATCCAAAAGGCAATCATGGTGATCTGCACCATCAATTTAGTTTCCTTCCATTTAACCCCTTGGATATTACTCCTGGCAAGTCTATGTTGGAGTCCTGACTGTGAGATTTAATTTTTCCTTGGGAAAGCCTATTGGGTTTCACTGGGGCAGGAAGGTGGGAGGACCTCAGCTCAGCACTAAAAAGGGCTAAACTGGGTAACCCCACTCTTACATGTTCATGATGGAAGGAAATGGTATCTGGCAGTAAATTTAATACAACTAACATTAAAACAGCAAGCATCTGAACATTTGGCACAGTTACACCCAAACCGCATGTATTTTTGTCTACTCTACTTACATCTTCTGCTTTTGAGCCTTGTTCCTGTAAAGATTTCTGCAACTCTTCAACTTGGGACTGTACTTCAAGCAATCTCTGATTTACAAGCCTAGAAATAGGAAAGAAAATGCTACCTTTAAGAAGCACTGGTCTTGGTTCACCTCTAAAAGCTAGTTTTTACAAAATGTTCATAAATGTGCATTTGTACTTTGAAATTAGAAGATGTTCATACTAGTGGCACACAGCATCCCTCCCTCCCTCCCTCCCTCCCTGGTCTTTTCGTATGTACTGAAAGGGAGCCAGCAAAAATAATAAAATATGATAACAACTTAGCAAACCTACAAATAAAAGATAAAAAACAGAAGCAGAGACAATTATGACAAAACACAATAGTACATTACAGCTTCTAAGACATCCCAAGCCTTCCTAAAGAAGAAAAGCAATGCTACTAGGCTGCAGTTTCCAAGTATGGGAATGGCAACAGAAAAGCTCTCTCCTTCCTTCAAGACAAATGCGGGTTTGGAACAGAGAAAGGGACCTTTCTGAGGATTGTTTGCTAGTAGAATTTTAAGCTTTAGCGGGTGCATAAACAAGATGATCAGAAAGGAGCCAAAAAAGCAATAATGATGACAAGACATGGCATCTCAAGCTGAATGCCATATATTGAAAACCATTTTGAAAGCAAAATGACTACAGAAAG